GAGAAGGGTGGCCTGTTTTGAATCTTATTTTGCCTTCAATGCAGAGATCTGCAGTTGTGACAAAGATCTCCACATGCTGGAGCCTTTTTTGCACATCCTGGTAACTTTTAAGGCGTGTACGGTGCTTATTTGAACACTCAGCTAAACTGCCTCTGCCTTTTTGCTATTCTGTTCCTAGAATATGTAAGTTAGAGAGGGTGAGATGGTTCAGTGAGTGTCCATAGGTGTAGATAGCCTCCAGTAGAGGGGTCAAAACAAAATATTGTTTGGTATCAGCTGGAGGAGACCAAGAATGAGAAGATGCTGTTAACCTCAGGACCTGGTTGTGGGTTTCCTATAGGTCCTTGACCTATTCCTTTGAGGGCAAAATCCTGAACTACGTGGGCCTTTAGTCTGATACTACATGGTTCCTCTTATGTTCCTATTAACAGCCATTTTTTTTGCTGTAACTGAGATTAAACCCCAAAGCCAAAATAATAGAACTAGCTAATCTCCTTGCAACATTTTCATATAGCGATTCTGACTGAAGTTGCATCCAGCTGTTTATTCTTAATGTGCCATATGTCCTCATACTGCACGTACCTATCTTTTCAGTAGCTATACCCAACACTGAATTTTAACAGTCAGAAACAGGAAAGCAATATGGATGTGTGTGACTTTACTTGGAATCGACATGCAGCTCCTTCGGAGCCACATTAAAACATATTTTCAAATAGACCATGAGTAGATTGGAAGAAGATAGTATTTCTAAAAAATAGTGCATCCTTGTAAAGGGTAATCTTAATGAATATTTTCCAGATGGCAATTAACTGAACTGTTTTTTTAGAGTTTCATGTGTTGTTATTTAACAAGTAAATCTGAACTGATCAATCTTTCTAGGTCTTTTCCTCTCTAGTTTGGGGAAAGCAGTATGACAGTAAAACGTATAATCAACGTATTAAGTAGTGAACGGAAACCTAGATTCGGTGACTGCCCTTTGTAGGCCACTGTGATGGACAAGAGGGAGTACATGTTACAGTGAGAACACTTCATAGGGAGAAGAACATATTCTAATCAAAGAGGGCCTGAAATGCAATCATACGCTTCCAATACGGGGATTCACATTTCAACCTCTTTCATCACAGAGCTTTGTATTTATTTCAGATGCTTTTGATGCTTCACAAATCCATATACAAAAATATTTTTGTGGCATTTACCCCGTGGCCCCTGCTTGTTTCATCAAACACAGAGCTCACACGAGTATCCCAACATGTCCTTTAACATGCTGTCAGCAATTGATCTCTTAATCAACCTATGTTTCCTATGAATAGGGTTGCCAGACGTCCGGCAAAGAGAGGACATGTCCTCCTTTTGAAGCTAAAATCCTCTGTCCGGCAGGCAATGCCAAAAAGCTTTAAAATGTCCGGCTTTTCTATCTTCACCCCCTTCCCCTCCAGCCAAACCTCAAAATGTAAATCACCTCTCCCTCCTTCCTTGGTTGTAAGGCATTTGTAAACCTTCCACACTTGTAAATCCTCCGTTCTGATCAGACTCCGAGATAAGCCAGTTTAATTGGTCACCTCTGTGCAATCCGGCAGGCAATGCCAAAAAGCTTTAAAATGTCCGGCTTTTCTATCTTCACCCCCTTCCCCTCCAGCCAAACCTCAAAATGTAAATCACCTCTCCCTCCTTCCTTGGTTGTAAGGCATTTGTAAACCTTCCACACTTGTAAATCCTCCGTTCTGATCAGACTCCGAGATAAGCCAGTTTAATTGGTCACCTCTGTGCAACAAAGCTTGTGACTGCAAGGGAGAGAAGGCTCAAAGGTGCGAGGGAGGGATGGTTGGAAATGGACATGAGAGGAAATGGACATAGTGAACTGAAGCAACTGATTGTTTGAACATTGAGGAAGGGTTTGTGTGTCAGAGGGAGAGGGAGAGAGACAGAGAGAGAGAGAGAGTTGACTTTTCCATAAAACCATGAAAAAAGGAACACAGCAAAATTTAATCTCCATTGGATTTAGCTCTGCTGAGAACAGCAAGTATTTCAAGGTAGTAATTGTACAATTAGCTGTTTAAATAATGTTCTTTGGTCCATTGAATTTATTTTTATTTTTTTAACATGACTGTTTCTTGGTCAGTTCACTAAGAGACATTTATTGGCAGGAATTATAATAAAATTGTATTGATTGCGGGTTTAATGTGGATTCAAATGAAATATTCAATATGTCCTCCTTTGTCCTCCTTTTTGTCTTTCTATGTCCTCCTGGTACCTGGGAACCCTACCTATGAAAGGCTGAGGTCCATTCAGTACTGAACTTTTAAGCAGAAACAGGTTTATTGATTAAAAGTTGTTTTAGGACTAGTTCTTAAGCACATTCTTAAAGTTACCCAAAGCTTCAGTATTTTACTTTAACCTCTCCTATTTTAATTAATGCAGGTCACACTCTGACTGATCACTCGTTAAACACTTTCTCTGCCTTAAACCCCCAAACTCTTTTTCTCTTCTCTGTTTCTCTGACTGAACTCTCTAGACTCTGAATCTCCACTCCCTTCCAGTGTCTCTGGCTCTGCCTCCTGACAGCTCTCATTGGTACATGCAAATACCCTGCTGAATATTCATACCAGGAGTGATCGCTACAATATTCATTTAGCAGTAAGGGCACAATGTTTTGTCACTAAGATGTTCTCTTTCCATGTGAAAAGTCATGATTTAATGTCATTAAACTTGGGACCACACTCACCTTTAATTTATCTGCATGAACAAACTCAAGGCGTGGAGGCATCGCCAATTCGTTTTCAATATCAATTCTCTTGTTCTTTTCCTCTTCTGTATATTTTGCACCAATGTCTACCACATTGTTTAGGATCTTATCAAGCCAGTGGGTACCTGAAAAAGGGTGGAAAACCCTATGAGATATATTCTGGAAGCTGATGCCCATAATAACCATGTGTAATTGCTACTTTTAAAAAATGTACACATGTAGATTTAAGCAGAGGAGGGATCCATAAATGCTTAAGGATGCTGTCTCGGTGCTTCTTCACAGAGTTAGAAGTCTCAGTCTTCACCTAGCTGGAGCCCCAGTTGATGTCATCAAGCTGCTCCTGGATGGCAGTCCAGTCTCTGCAAAAGAGCTTTAACAAACGATACTCAGACTAACCTTCTGAGGTAATCTATTCCAGTCATCAGCCCTCTAAAAGCTCATTTGAATTGTGTTTATTTGGATTTTGAATTGTTGTCACTTGAATATTGGCTAGTAGTGATACTTTCATCAGCTCAATATTTGCAAAATGAGACAGGAAGAAGTAAAAACCCTAGGACTTTGGAGTTTTCCTGATTTCTACCTTGTATCCGGAATTGGACTAAACTGAGGGCAAGAGTAGATTGTTCTTTAACAAAGAGTTGGTGAACTGATCAGGACTATGGAATTTGCCTGCATCTCAGCTTGTTATGCAACAGAAGGAAATTTTCCATTGGCACAACTTCAAATAGCAAA